AGTGTATATCACGTTTCAAAAATGTTACGAACCATTTACAAATGTAAGGGATGACTTATGTGATCCAAACATGAGCATATCTTAAGCGTGATCCTAGCAATTTAGTTGTAAGTTCATGGCGAGTCATTGCATTATAGCAACTATCCTACAACTAATGTCGATTATTATTAATTTTGGTCAAGCCATTTTATTAACTTACGTAACAGACAATTGTTATTAAAACAGTAACAATTCGTCCATTTTGTAGTTGAATTCATGATTCGATTGAAGCTAGACCACCACGGAAAACCTGGAAGAACTGGATGACATTTTCGTCCTAGTGTAAGACTCCTCAGCAGTACGCATACACGATCCCACCCCATGAAATTTAAACCCTCGACTTACTGGTCTCGCATGCCAGCGCTTAACCTCTAGACCACTGAACCGACGGGCATCCAACGGTGTTATTGTCTAACTTCAACTAATCCACGAAGTTCAGCAACCGTCCACCATTATCTTCAGTGAGTTACTATCTCACAACAGACGTGGTTGAACTCCACTGGTCACTGATTCTCACTAGAACTCCAGGAAATACCTCTTGAAGCGAGTCCTAATGAGAAAATGATTATTATCAGAAGAAAGTTTTGTGAAGATTTCTTTGTACTGTCACATGACAGACTGTAGCGAAAATGTTGTTGGCATAAATATCCCTCGATGATTCATCCTCCTCCCCATGTATGTATGTACAAGAATTCTAATATCAGTCTCTGTTCCGCCTTGCTGTGCCCTTATGTGATTTGGTCATAAATTTGCCTCTGTATATGCTCGCATAAAAATATTCGTCTCTTCAATTCAAATTCGCTTGATATGCTTATAGCTTTGTGATCTGCGCTATCCGCTAATAAACTGTAGTTGCCGCTTCTCTTTGCCTTCTGCATTCAAGCACACTGCAGACCCTAAATCTTAAATTAGACCACAGCACTGATGACAGTCAGTAAGGATTCCGAAGATCATTTGAAAAATAATCAGAACGTTTTCGTCAAAACTGGAATTGTTTTGAGAAAAATGGTTTGAGTTAAATTTCTAATCGAGACTAGGTTGATATTGGAACGATGTTAACCATTCGATGTAATTCGTGTACGAACATATGTCCGAATTGAAAAGAATGATTTCACAACTTTTGAGGGACAGGTGTATAGATGATGGAGAAAGTGTGAAAATGTGTTAAGAAGTCTCATGAGTTAATTTTTGCATCACAAACTTCGTCAGTTCGGAAAATAACCGACATCAATGTCATTTAGCACAAATACCGATAGGAAATATTGCTTGCTAAACGCTTATTATGTTAAGATGCTGAATATCATCTTGTGTGAATGTACGTCATTTGATTTGAAATGTGCTCTTAATTGCGTTATTCGAAGACATTTGTTTATGTTTACGTAATTGGAATCAAAAAGCGTAGTAACCTCTTCATTTAAATAATATTTGACTTTTGAATATGAATGAATGAGTGTTTAATACATAGGTGTTGACGACAATAATCCAGTAAATTAATGATAATTCGATTATTCGCTCAAAGAACCTCAACATATACTTCTGAAAAATAATTTACGAGTTATTCAAATTCCACCACAATAATGTCTACAAATATTTACCTTAATAAAATTGATGTTTGGAATGAAAAATAAGATTTTTTCAAAAAATTAACTGGGTTTCTACCTCTAGAGACATTGACTAATTATACCAAGATAAGTAATTATGATGTCTCACCATTTAGACAAGTAAAATGATTGAATGTTTATACATGAGCGTTCACATATTAACAACAGTAGAACGAATTTATTTGACGTCATCCATAGTACTGAACTGTTATTCACTATATTGGGTTACATTTGTCTATTTGTAGACATTTAAAGTCTCTCATGGATTACAGGCTCATCCATATTAATAAATTAAGAGCGATTTTCTGAACGTATCGTTCGTATTCCATCAAACTAGTATGACGGTGTTTGTTCACTGTAGTGTTTCTACTATTCTAGCATGAAATAAAACACTGTGTGTACAAGTGTCCATTGTCAAGAAGTGAACGGTTCTCGCTATGATAATTAAGCTATACCACAAACTATCATAAATAACTGCATTTTGGTTCACAGACCAGAATGGTTTACACTAAATTGGAGTAAAACGTGTTCATTTATAATGTCAGTCGTTCAATAAAAGCTGATAGAAGCAGTGGTTGGATTGAGTTTACTAGAACTGCTTTACTAGAATCTTTGAAGTTCACAGACTGTATCCAGAAAGATGACATAAAAACCAATCGAGGTCACCATTTATATACGTTACGCGAATTTCGTAACAGAGTAACCTATGATATTTTCATTTAACTCAGATATGTCATCCCCTTGGAATGAGTAGGTTTTGTTCGAATTTGATAGTTGTTTTATAGCTTGTTGGTTATATGAGGAATTCCTTAATCGAGGAATAATTTGCTTCTACGGACCTATACATTTTGTCTCACTTCATCATCTAACGATTTCATATTATTGCTAAGAGGATCTACTTTACAAACATTGTAAATAAGTGAAATATGACATGAACTAACCTCCGTTTTGTGTGTTTCGTTTACATGAGAACGGATAAAGTGTCTTTCAAGCGTCCACGGGAAACCATCCTTCAACCGAGTTACACATTGCTCATCAAAATGTGGCTGTGAAGCTATTTTAAATTAAGTTAAATAATGTTATGTTGTTGGAGGATCGAATGAATTTATATAAGGAAAGAACCGAATCAGTGAGTATGTGAGCAAATATAAAGTTCATGTTGATATTTCCCATGAAACACATGATACTCTATCAAACCGATCCAGTGTTTACATATCTAGTACCCATGATTACTCAATCATTCGTATGCTTTCTTCAACGTGAATATGACCAAAAATATTTTGAATATAATGTTTAACCAATAGGCTCTTTACGCCAATTACTTTGCTTCGAATCTCAAGACGTACTTTAAAGTATACTCTAGATATTTACTATTTTATGAAGCCCCTCTTCTGTCGATATGACTGAAAATGACAATGATGAATAAATCTACATTGATTCAGTCATGATGGGTTACGTCGATGAGATTTTCTGAGCATATCGGATTTGTTCATATGTGAACATTTCTTCTGTTCAATTAATCAGGCAGTCAGTCAGTCAGTTACAACGTAGAACTTCGTACGGACGTACATCAGTTCGAGTTGCCATACCACATTAGCACAGAGAGGCAGTTGTCGATTCAAACCCCATATTGGTAGAAGTAGTAAGAGTATAAGGATTAATGTGAAAGATTAGGGTTTGAAGATGTTATTGAATGTGTATAATACAATGAAATAAATTTGGAAAGAGAAAAAGGATACAGACATGAAGAATTCAGAAGATTAGAATTTGGTAGAACACAAAGAGTGGATGTACCTTCGCCATTGCAAACGATTTTGAGCCATGTCATTCAAGGTCTCTAACCATCGGTTGCTATCATCTCGCGAATCCCAATCAGGTGGTCTACACCTACCAACATGGCTCAGTCCACTTGTCAGTGACTTCATGGATTTATGCCGTGTTTTGGTCTGGCCGCAGTAGCTTTCTTCCAACCTGCTCCTACACCATAAAGTATTACACGTCGAGGCAGTCGGTGGTTGGGCATACGTAACACATGTCCCAGCCATCTCAACTGATAAAGTTTCACTACTTCATCAATCGATTTGCCATCCTTACCTAGTACCCGTTTCCTAACATCTGCATTACTTACCCGGTGGTCCCAGGATATACCAGCAATCCTTCGAAGACACCTATGATCGAGCACTAGTAGCCTACGAATATCCTCTACTCTTACCGGCCGTGTTTCACTGCCATAAAGTAGGACGGAACTCACTACTGCACAGTAAACCCATTCTTTTGTTGCTAGACGGATATCTGGCCTACGCCATAAATGACGCAAGTTGGTGAAATCTAGACGAGCCTTCTGCATCCGTTCTGAGATTTCGTCACACACCAGACCACAGGGGCTCATGAGACTCCCAAGATAATTGAAGGTGTCCACGCGCTCAACTACTTCACTCTCTATCATTAGTTCAGGTGTCGATGCGACCCAATCCTGAAGTAACATTTTGTACCTCGAGGGAGAGAATCGCATCCCGAATATGCCTGCATTGTTGCTTATGGTGGTCAGATGACCCAATGATTGCTTTAGTACAACTTTCTCTTTTTATTGCTATCCTGTTTTTCATAGTTTACACTACTAATCACTATTTGAATTGAGCATGTATTACTGTAATTTGAACTTGGAATAAAGTGTGGTGTGGTTGCATATAAACTACCTCTGTCTGAAATATGTTGAGCTTTTGTACTTCCTCTTCGTTCAGAGAACGTAGGTATTGAGTTCACAGCCAAGCATAGAGAATGAGTCTTGTCCTCGTTGCTATGTGACTTCTGACATCTGGAACAAGCTTGACGAACGCGCTTTCCCAAGGTCATAGCTCGAACCAGGCGCTCCACAAGCCTACTTTATAACAATTATAAACTTAAAAAGCTGCATTACAGAAATACTTAGAACTACCGAAACCCTATTACACTTTTTGTCGAGATTGGATCTGGTATATAACGTGGACGCTATGCCCCTTTGGAAACTATTCTTATGAAAACACATTATATGTGAACGAATGAACTGCTATCAACTTTTATAGATTATAATTACTAAACAAGCTTGCTTGGGATGCATACTGTGAACCAGTATATGTTGTAAATTGTAGATCATGCCTGTAAAAATGGCGTGTACCTGCTAATGCAGAAATATATTATTATTATTATTATTATTATTATTATTTTGGTTTCTGAAAGTCATCTATGGGTTTTGGTCGGTTCTAGAAGATAACACATTCATGGCATCATTTAATTTTTTTTCCGATGAATGGGACAAGTGGGACACATTAAAAGAGTTTCCTGTTTATATACGTTTACTGTTATTTGTACAGTATGTGAAATCAGAAAAGAGCAATAATGGATGTCACGTATAATAGTAAGTAAAAGCACATTCTTCAATATTTTGAAATTTTAAATTACAATTTGAATAACGTTAGAAACATTATCACGAGATGACTGGGGATATTTTTGTTCTGGATAAGATACACAAAATGTCAGTGAATATCTATATGTTCTTATTTATAATTCAACTAAACTTACCTTTAAACTAGTGAAATTATAGGAACTATACTGATTACTTAGACATACAGCTTTCGATTGCATGAAACTGGATGACCATAAAGCATCGAACGAATTCCGTTTATTACTGTTCTCATCAAACAGTACACCTAGAGATACAACGAAACTAACGGGTTATCTTTATTGAAATTGTAATTCTTTTTAACATAATTGTTGCTTTGCATGTACATTAGAAGAAAGAGAAAGCAGAAATCAATGCATAAATGCATCAAACGGATATCTGGCATACGCCATAAATGACGCAAGTTGGTGAAATCTAGACGAGCCTTCTGCATCCGTTCTGAGATTTCGTCACACACCAGACCACAGGGGCTCATGAGACTCCCAAGATAATTGAAGGTGTCCACACGCTCAACTACTTCACTCTCTATCATTAGTTCAGGTGTCGATGCGACCCAATCCTGAAGTAACATTTTGCACCTCGAGGGAGAGAATCGCATCCCGAATATGCCTGCATTGTTGCTTATGGTGATCAGAAGACTATGCATTTTGTCAACATCTTCACCAAATAAAACTATGTCGTCGGCGTATTCTAAGTCAACAAGTGAGCCTCCTGGTAAAAGTTCGACCCCTGGAGATTGAGATGATGAAAGTGTTATGTCTAAAAGCATGTCAACGACAAAGTTAAACAAGAATGGAGAGAGTGGACAGCCCTGACGAACACCACTTGAGGTAACCAATTCTGATGATAGTTTGCCATAGGGCCTAACTCGAAAAGTTATGTTTGAGTAGAGAGCCTTTATGAGGTTAATGTACTTCTTTGGTACTCCTTTTAGTGACAAACACTGCCGTAGAACCTCACTATCAACGGAGTCAAATGCCGCCTTAAGGTCAAGAAATACTACTATTGTGGGACGTCTGAATGTATGTCTATGTTCTAGGACCTGAAGCAGAGTGAATATCTGGTCTATGCAACCACGTCCAGTTCGAAAACCAGCCTGGTTTTCTCTAGTCTGCTCTTCATGAGCTTTGGTTAGGCGTCCAATTATTATTGAAGCTAATATTTTAGACACTATATTAGTCAGACTGATTCCTCTGTGATTATCACAGGATTACGTTTTTTCTTTCTTGTAGGCTGGCAAAATCGGTGATTGGGGCCAGTCAGATGGAATTACGTCCAGTTCCCAGATTCTACCTGAAACCTCAGTCAATCTCACTGCTAGTACTGGACTACCATCCTTAAAAATCTCAGGGATAAACCTGTCAGGGCCTGCGGCCCTCCCTCGCTTTAGATTTCTTATTGTTTTTTCAACCTCTTAGAGCGTTGGAGGACTTACATCAATTTTCCATTCAGGACGACTGGGGATCGTGGGTAACTGAAGTGTGGCTGAAGGCCAGTTGAACTGACCCTTAAAGTGTTATGCCCATCGATTCAATCTCCTGGATTAAGAATGAATGATATGCCCATCTTTGTCTGAGATAGTTTCGCTAATTAGTATTTGTAAGAAATAAGTGGTTATTCGAGCACAGTTGCAACAGACGGTCGCCATTATCTGTTCTTTCCGCCATGACACCATAAGATCCACCCAGGTGTATTTCCCTTTCACTTAGTTTACCTACTTGAGCATTAAAGTCGCCAGCCACTATAACTACATCAGAACGCCTGGCTTTTCGGAGGAGGTCAAAAAGTTTCCTGTAAAGCCCATCTTTTATGTCGTCTGAGCTGCGGTCAGTGGGAGAGTAGGCGGAGAAGACGAAGAGGCAACGACGAGTTTCCCTATCTTTTCGAGTCCTTACTGATCTGTTCAGTCGGACAGCGCATAGACGATTGTCTACTGGGATCCAGTCTAAAAGAGCTAGTTCTGCCCTAGGACTTAATGCTATGCCTACTCCGGCGAGGCCACGGGAGGTAGCATCAGGGCTTCCAGATTCACGAAGCGTGTATCGAGATGAATCTTTATTTTGATTAAGTGAGGTCAAATGAATGACACTACTCGGATCTTGTCGACGGATTATGCTTCTTCAAAACGGGATGCAGTATAATGGGAACGAGTAAAACTACATCTGAATTGATATGTTTGTGTGAAGTCAAAAACTTTCATGACCTTACCATGCCATACGTTTTAGTTATTGACTACAAATAAATTTTATTTTTTTGCTCTGAGTATTAGTTAAATAAATACATTGTTGAATGTACTACTTACATGAACTCAAGTTATGATCCGTTCCAAATGCATGGACGTTTAGAGTATTCATTTGTTGTTCTCGTAAAAAATCCATAATAGCTATTGTGCGCAGTATACTAATGAAAAGAAAAAAATTAGGTCAACAAAACTGTTCAATAAAGCTCGGATAATGATAGTAATAATAAAAAGCATCGGTATAACAACATATGGAATTTATAAATAACACTGACAGGTGGTTCTAAACTCGAATATCTGTTGTACAGCTTTAATCCTATCACTGAAGACAATGGTGGATGGTTGCTGAACTTCGTGGATTAGTTGCAGTTAGAGATTAACACCGTTGTATGCCCGTCGGTTCAGTGGTCTAGAGGTTAAGCGCTGGCATGCGAGACCAGTAAGTCGAGGGTTTAAATCTCATGGAGTGGGATCACGCGTGCGTACTGCTGAGGAGTCTCACACTAGGACGAAAATGTCATCCAGTTCTTCCAGGTTTTCCATGGTGGTCTAGCCTCAATTGACTCATAAATTACTGTTTGAAAATGGTATACAAGTCTGGGATACAAATTCTAAAATGTGTTTTTTCTATTTAATCCGAAAAAATTATTTAAAACTTTTGTCGACTTAACAATTTTACAAATGTTTATGAAAATAAATTACAAATTGAATAATTTAAACTTTATGAGTTCCTAATTATCCTATGGAGATATTTTGGATTATATAATCTGGTTTCTTATCATTTCACTAAAAGAAATTTCTATTGATAACAGAAAAATAGACAAAGGTATTTATGAGACACGTATTATATTCACTGATATTAACTAAAAATGGAAAAGTAAAAAAATGGAACTTCGTAACTCAACAATGACTAGAGACGAAGTGTTTAGGAAAACTGAAAATAAAATATTGTTAAGCGTTTTACATTTGAAATCTTATAAAGCTTCATTCGTACATAATCTAAATACAAGTTGAATAATGTAGTTAAGATTGAAATTAGTTTATCCAGAAATTGTGAAAGTTCAAAACAACCAATGATCCAATGTTATAGAGTCAACATAAACAACCTATCCAGTTTCTTTAAAACAAATAAATCGACATATTTGTCAATCATTGATGTGTTTCATTTTAAACAATGATAAGTTTAGTATGTTTTACACGGAACAATCAATAACCATATGCTTATATTTACCTGATTGAAGTGTAAAAAATGTAACAATCTACTGAACTACTAGATAACAATCAAAGGTATTAATATTGATCAATAAACAGCCACTGACAAATAGTATATACTAAATATTTCATATGTCTTTTGGGCATAGATTGAAATTGAATCTGTATTAAACTCTGTAAATTATAACAGTCTCTTTCTTTGTGATAATTGTAATAATGAAATCTTTCAACACCGAACATAAATAGTTTTATTATCCATATGTAATAATTAAATTTACGTTCAGCTAATAGATTCATTTCTATCTGATCTAATTATTTTTACAGTTTCAAGTCACAAGTTCGTCTTAGTTAGACTCACAGTGGAAACCGGGGAACATTGAATGGCTGTTTCTTCGTAATATGAGAGTCTTCAGTAGTGCATGTCAACGAACCTACATCTGGGAATCGAAACCAAGCCCCTAAGCCTCAAACGTGAACGTTCAATTTCTAGGTTATTGAGTAAGTATCAATCGGTGTTAAGGTCTAACTACAACTCATGATATCGCACGACCCTTATCTTTTGCCTGTGGTGGATAAATATTATTGATGTGCACAGATTGCGCATCTCATGCCTTGACGAAGGAGTCGTCAGCTCATGATTTAAAAGTGAATGTTCTACAATCTCCACAATACCTTTACACTAATATAATTAGTTGTTGAGAGACGTAGGTGTACATTTTCACAAAGCTATCGACTGCGAAATTCTATATATCTTGTCCACCATAAAGAAAAAAAGTATGCTTTACCTTCCACCATCTTTTTCCTTCAATAAAGCACGGTATTCTGAGCAACGTTGACGGAGTTCAGTTCGCTGTTCTATAATGATTGGAAGTTTTTGATACTTTACATATCCAGTTTGTTGTAACACCTTTTCAAGTAGGTGACTCCAATCGATCTACAAAAGGGAATAAGTTACAATAAACTCATAATATGGTTTCTCGAGTTGAAATGGAATGACATTTTCAATGGCTTTAGCGTCACATGTAACAGCCGTTTGCATAGAGATGACCAACTATATATTGCTAGGTAAAACAGTTCAGTAATATAATACTGATTATTGAAATTCTAAATAAATATAGATTCTTAGAAAACTTAGTTTACAATTATAAAATAAACATTTCGTATGATGATTTTCATCTGTTCACTATAAATAATATCTCACTATTCCGTGACAAGTAACCTACATTTTATCACATACATTGCTACTTATCAACTTCAATATTTTTCAAGAATTTCAGTTACACTGCTTTATATTAAAAAAACATATAGTTGCGCAAGTCATATGACAAAACGTACCTGTGGGCAGGTGTATTGTAGTTCATTTTTCGTAATAAACTCCCTCACGTTTGTTGTCTTTGAGACTGACCTCTTTTGGAGATTGAAAGTAAAGCATAACAAAAATCAAAATGACAGTTGTATCTTAATTTCATCTGGATATGGCGAAAGGAGACTCTAGTGTGAAAATCATTTACAGTCATAGTCTGACAACCGCGCACTCCAGTTATACGGTATAAGGATTAATTAATATAAGGTTTATTATCCTTTTTCATATTTCAGGATTGACGGTCTTTTAGATCACTGCTTCAACCAGCCAATTCCTAAGAAAATCTCAGAAACTTGATGACGTTAAATGATTGATATTCATTTAGAATTATCTAGTAGGAAATTCTTCATCTGGTAAACATGCATATTTATGTTGATCGGACCTATTTCACTGATTGTAACGACGAAATCTAACTACTAATAATGATCTTGTATTCGAATTTGCAGGATCAAACGCAGATTTCTGGGTTGAAAAGCATTTTATAGACATTTCTAATCAAGTAGGTATGTCAAGTTGACATTTCTCTGAAATCTGTTTCAGCATTTTGAGTCATTTTTCTATAATTCATTTTTATCGAGTAGAAAACCTGTAGAAATAGGTGATCTGCTCAAACGTTAGATTCACAATTCACAGTTGTTAATAATGCAGTAAACCACTAATCTGTTTCCTTGAATCGTTGATACATAATAGCTTCATGACATTCTCCTAAGCATTTACTAACGGTTAACAACTCAATGTGACGTTAAAAACCATAAAATGCAGGTAAATTGTTATCCGTATGTTTAGTCCGTTTTTTTAATAAATGAGTGGAATGTATATAAACATTTGTGCGTAGAACATATTAATTTATGCAAAGATAATCGATCAATTCTACTGCTTTTATGGAATAGTGAATGCCCTCCCACATGTTAGAAACACTTTAGAAATGAAATTTCCCGCACTAGTCTCGAGTAATCATGAATAAGTAAACATTTGATATATTTTTTCAATTGGTAACTCATTTGCTTTGACACGCGAAATTTTTCAAGATTTCTTAAGTGAGTTTTTATTAGTGCACAGGCGTGATGTTTTGTTAGAATGTTAAAACTTGAAAAGCAAACTTTTCGGCCTTAGATTATTGCGATAAAAATGTAACAGTTAAGCCTTCTTATGAAAGGCTCTTATAATTACTTATTGTGAATAAATGTCTAAATGATTTCTACTTGTATTGTAAAACAATGTCATCTTATTTTTGACTTGGAAACACAAATTTTTAAATGAACTTACTTTGCCTAACCGAATCATTGTTTGGAAAGCCTCTGTTAGTTGTGTTTTGTTAGACTGAAGTACCCCGGTTTCAAATGCAAGTTTGTGGTAAACCTCTTTGGATTCATTCTGTTAAATGAAATATGATACGTTGTTTACTCATACTGAAGTATACATGTAGAACTGAGTTGGTGAGACGTTGAAATGCACCTTGATATAAGACAGAATTTATTCTCAAGATATTTATGATCGTTATTCAAGATGTACAGAATTCTCCAACATATACAAACAATTTTGGGTTTTTCGATTGTGATTTAATATTTGTCGGTTTTTCTGATTGAAAATGACGACTCATTAGCTATTCTACAATGTATTAAATTAAGTCAGGTGTTTATGAGTACCGAACTTCTTTAATAATGACACATAATTTCCTTGCCTGACATCTCACACTTAGAATTTGTAATACATAGGAAAGCAAAGTACTACAAAAGGCAGAATCTATATTTAAGAGAACAAAATATTTATATTATCGGAGAGTACGTTCATCTTTTCAATGAACCGGTAATAGTGAACTTTATTTATGTAGCTTTAAAAAATTTTAGTAATATTTAATCCTCCTTCTTTCACTTTCACCTTTGCATGAAAATATCAGTCAATATATTTAAATACATTTTGAAATGGTAAATTCGATCTAACAATATGATGTTTTATTCAGTCAGTAATCACAAATATATAAATACAGTTTGCCATTCAAATTCTCATCATGCTCTGTCCTCTAACCTATTCCCAAATTTTTTATAAAACATGAGCATTTATTAAACATATCTTTTGATAAAAAGACAAAGATTACTGAACAGCAGTAGAATGTCTGCTATACAACTAAGCATGTGTACTTATTACATGGTCTTATAATTTGATCGAAAAAATCATCGTTTCTCAAAACATTGTTATGAAGTACTATCTAAGTGTAATTTCAGGGATTAAATGCTCTACCAAACTGTCATTCAACTTATCTTTCAGAAATGCATTGGGAAGACAGGGTTGGAGACTATATTGAAAGTGGATTTATGATGTAATCAAAATGGATATAAATGGACTGTTCAAATGAGGCCTGATGAGTAGCAGTCGGTTTGGCAGCTACCATAATTTGACAAGTCTCTTCACATGCCAGGAATAATGATTATATTAAAGAGCTCATTTTTTAATACCACGAAAACGTCTAATTTATACTCACTGACGTGATGAATAGAACGTCAGTTCATTCAAAAGCAATAATTTTGATATCAAGGACTAATTTAAGTAAATACGTGGTATTAATCATTCGGCGGAATGAAACATTTGAATGGTAATATTTAGGACAATTCTGACATTGAATTGATATTAAATGGGATATAAATCAGAAGCGTTCATTGAATTATCTACTGAATAAATAATTTTTGGTCACATTTAAAAGTTACCTTCGGTAAATCTGGATGAAAAGCGAACTGACCAGGGGAAATCTGATGAGATTAGAATTACAAAACACATTTCAGTGGTTTGTTAAATAATTAAACAAAGTGTATATTGCATAAGACATGTGATAACGATCCGAATTCTATTGAACCTGTTTTTACTGACACCATACATGTAAAAATATTTGCAAATTGTGATATAATTTCTTGTTTCCGAGATATGTCGAGAGTATTTTATTTATATAAATATTTCCATTATATTCAGATGGAATTACACATCGATTTAAAATGATTTATTACGTGTATTCACTGCTAGAAAGTGTTACTTAAAAAACGTATTACCAAGCAGATTTCAGCAAAACCATTTACGGGTTTTATGTGAAAAAAGGAATTAAATTTCGTCAGTGAAGATGAAGACACCACAGTGATGTAAATTTCTTTTCGACGATATACTTTACTAGAACCTTAAAATTGTATCTGTAGAGATTTAATAAATGAATGAGTTTATAGATTCAAAGAAGGAAACTACATCCAAGTGTTCGGTGTAATCAAGTGTAACAATAAGTTTGGGTAATTGTCTAGACGTTAAGGAATAATAGGAACATAAAATTTGTTTTTATGTTGTTAACCTGATAGACATAAAGGAACACTTAGGCCTATTAATGTGATGGTAACAATGAAAAAATAATTTTCACAAAGTGTATGAGAGTCCTTATGACTGGCTATTTATTAACGAAGTCAAGTAATATAGATTACACGTGTTGTTTTTGAAAGCAAAGTTTTGTTTTGATTTATTAAACTGCTGATAACTTAGGAGCGAGGCAGTTTTTGATGAGATCTTTATTTGATTTCTTTCGTGTATCTGTATAGATGGTTTTGAAGGACCATTCTAGTGGAAAAATGTGAATATTTGATGTGTTTATTTAAACAATTATCAGTCTTTCAGATTTCTGTTCCCATTGCAGTTTTCGTAATGTGAGCCCACAGTGACGACCAATACTATGAGGTTTTTGTCTAATTCAGGATAATTTACTTGTTACTGTTTCCTTGGAGCCAATCCTCCTAACAGTCGAGGTTAAAGACTAAACTTGAAAATTCAAGTATTGATCATTTCATTTAATGTGTATGAATCCTTGTGATGAACTATCTGAAAAATTTTTAATTTGAAATAAAGGGAGACAAATTTTAAATTCGTCTTAGCTTCCAACGTAAATGTAATTAGACGATGTTAATTATTGGTATTGTTCAGGATGAAATTGGGGATAGTATTTTTGTTATAGATGATATACGCGTCATCAGTATATCTTTTTTATAAGTATCATATACGTCAGCCTGACTATGAAGCGATACACTGAAAGAGGGTCCAGTAGGGAACTCTTAGCTACCCATTAGTTTGTATACAGAAGTAATTATTCGATCAAAACTGGACAATGAAAATACATCAAAGGAGTATGTGTTTTAAAACAGAGTTTCAGAGCACCGATGTCGAAAAGAAGAATCCCCGAACAATGACGATGTGTTTCCTAAGTGAACATACTGAAAATAACAACTGACCATAGACAATTTTCTTAAGCAACAGAGTGGTCACAACAAAATATGAACTTTGTCAACCTTAATCTCATTGACAGTAACTTAATCAAACCTATTATAGTTGTGCAGAAGTAAACAACACCAAGTGAATGCTACTTGTTAATGCTTTAATTTATGTACCGCAATACGAGATAGAACCAACTTTAAGACATGTGGTCCAATATACTTAACTCCTCAGAAACGGAATTTCTGTCAAATTATAACAGCGAATATTTAATGGTTATGCGAACAGTATATCGAAATTTTTATGTTTCACCTAACCAGTTTACACGCCACATCAAAGATCAGACAACAATAGAAAAAGCATTTAAAGTAGTATGATGTGTTTTGGCTTTAGTTCTAAGAATATGATTTGAGTAGTCACCGTTAAGAATATCCAAAATGGGTTAAACCATCGTCCTAGTTATATTTTAGTTTTCAGTATGTAAAATCAATAGAATCCTTTTCCTTAGTAATACAATAAACCATATATTCAATCGTCGCTCTATTTAAAAAGAATTTGATTTATCAAAGTTTGAACACATTTATTATTTACGTGCATACATCGCAAAATCTCTAGCTGTGACAGTGGAAACTATTTATTAGTTTATCAAAATTCGCAGTAGAATATTGTAACGAATTCATCGAAATCATATTACTGGGTCAACTAAAATTCATTGTAGGGTTGGATTGACCTAAAGACTAGTTGTTCTTGTTTACCATAGTGGATTCACTTGAACGCCACATATCACTAAAGTACTATCGCTTCATGAGCATATTTCATCAATATTTATCATACCAGAGTCGCGTTTTCATTAAATAGCATATATTACATGCGAATTTTCATCGATACACACTTCCTCTCGATCAGGATTTCTTACTCTAGTTTGGGTTATTGGTCATAATTAGAAGTAGTCAATCACTTTTAGTTTACTATAAATTGAGTACAATACGTTTCATCACAATCCAAATTTTATTTGATATAAGTCTTTCAACGTCAAGTTCTAACGTGTATTACCAATGTTCGTAGTAGATTCAAAAACATTGAATATAATATAAAGAAATTTGATATGAGATATATAATTGAAGTGCTTACAATAACAGCAAAAATATCGCTCGCGATGTTTATTGAAAATAATGGTGAACGTCCAGTTTGAGTTAATATTGGTAGAAATAGATTGGTAAGCCCGTTATTCATTTTATTTTGCTTATGTTTATTTGTATTGTTTATGTTTGTCGAAAGTGATGGTATTAGTTCCCATCCGCCAAAATACCTGTGTATCAAATGATGACGACTATCACGTGTTGTGTTTGAATTTCGACTATTTACGCAAGATTTGTAAAATGCTCGAGCTGATTGTAAGCGCCGATCTTCTTTATAGTAGGAGTCGTTTGCTTGGAAGTATTGAAAATTATTGACATCAAATTATGAAGAACAAACAAGGAATATTTGATTCAAACAAACGAAGGGTTTATTATAAAACAATAATGCCTACAGCTGTTTATCCTCTTATGACCATTCATGAGATATTTAATATATTTGGTATAAGTCGAATGATGGTTATTCTAATGAATCCATTCGGTAAATTATCGTGAATTTGATACTGAAAAAAGAGTATGGATTTCTAATGTTAGGCGAATTGAGGAAGGACTTACAAGTGATAAGTCAGCACTGCGTGAATTCAAAGTTGAAGAGCTGATGTACTTCAAGGAATTCAATATTCACTCATTTGGACTAGTAACCACATTGCATCCTAACAGAATTAACAATCAGGTTCGATTACAAAAGATGTATAGAATGAACTAAAACATTGTGGTCTGATATTATTTAGTCTTAGTCTTTCCAAAGGCTATACTTCATCTGAATAACTTCAGAGTAACGTCGCTTACTATCTAACATGATTCAATGTTTTCGTATCTCATGTAGATCATCATTTTGAAATAGATTATAAATATAATTCGCAGATAACAGGCAAATGGTATGTAGCCTGACTTCTGAACTTTCAGCTAAACATACGATTCAATCTAACTCCAAAAGCACACATATCACTTGCTTCCAACTAGAACATAACTTCATGAAACCTGAGAGTAAAACGATATTTCCACGTGGACAATTAGTTAAATAAACAGCCTTTCTGCTATCGAATAAGATTATACAATATACTTTTAAGTTCAGTTTCTCAAAGAAATCTAGAAGTTTGATATTTTTTAATTTATGAAGTACTGTATGGAAAGTGTTATATGATATTCCAGGGAATAATTCAATATCAATTTTGATTGATGTACCACATTCAGTAAAGAGGAATAGATAGGAGTTCCTCCCCCCAAACAAAAGTTATTTGTCCAAGATGTGCTACCACCTATGTCTTGAGTGATTGACATTTTGTTTGAGTTTGTCTACAGATCCTCCAGTTCGGTTGAAGCATGGCTATCTGCCTACTTGCGCGAATTCTGCAAGATAATTTTAAACGTTGTCTGTAAACAATTCGCTTCTCTTTGCTTGTTGTTTTAAATTTCGGCAAAGGGTTAAGACGTAAATATCAGCACAAATTATATTATAACATTATTGCACCATGACTTACCAATTATCTTCCAGAAGTAGTTATCAACGTTCATTCCCATCCTTTGCAAAGTGGTTAAACTAGCATCATCTTTTGGCAAGGGATTGAGTTTTTCCCACTCTCCACATGCTGTTTCGTAAAAATCAATACAATGATTCGATGCATGTGAGTTATTGGTATTGTTTTGTATAGTCTCTTCCAAAATCTTTGTTGCTACAGAAATATGTGTAAGCAATAAAATTATCTACTGATTCGAATATATGATGGTTATAAAAGACAGATAGTTTGGGAACGATTAAGTGTGATGGAGTTACTTTAGACATATAATTGATGATGTCATGGGGAAAACACCTTAGTTTTTTAATTACAATTGGATGTTAATATAAATAAATGAGACTGATTCATCAAAGAGAAGATTTTCGCATTGATCTGTTTTTCAACAGCTTATGGCATAGCTCGTATTCAAATGTCCGATTTACTCTCCAACCTCGAATATCTTCCTTAGAAATGTTGATTTGAACAACAGCAAAGTGAAAGCGTAGAGACGGTTGGTGTTTATTATGGCATTGAAGGTATTCAAAGAAAGATAGCTTGTGAGGTGATTTACTACTCCGGGATGGCTCATTCTAGATTCTTGATGAAGTTTGAATATTCTGATGTGGTATGATTCAGAATCAGTCATAATATCAAAGCTACATTCACTCTTCATTTTCTTTTTGACTTTGAATTAAAGAATCTATTCATGCGTATTTATCCCATTATCATTAATAATAGATTACTTCGATTATTTTGCTATTCATTTTATCGATTAAACATTCTTGTGGTATTAAGGTCAGACAGACTTTGGTTAATACATACAAGAAAATCACTGGCAGTTATGGACTAGATAATAATTTTGGCCAGATTATTCCGTTAGTATTCAGATAATTACAAGTCTTTCAATTCATACTTTTTATAAAATCTAAGTGGGGAGTGTTGAGTGTGTCTAAAATTATTACAACTAACAGTTAAAAGTTCAATAACTGATATAACAAAGCGTTTCCAGGGACTAAAGATAAAATCAAAAATGAATACATCATTTCAGCACTCGTTCGTTTAAAACATTTCACAAAATCGCATAAACCATTGGTTAAATGAGAGAACATAAACATATATAGCAGAGGGTCAAGAAAAAAATCTACATAGCATTAGATCGTATAATCAGTATATGAGTTAAAAAGGAAATATTCGATCGTCAAATGGTTCTTTTCAGTATTCAATCTACAAAATCTTTCGTCTCATCAATCAATGACTTACCAGTGTCAGGCGTTTCCGTAATCCGTGCATTTTCATTTGTTCCAACGAATTCTGAAATAAGACAAAGTAAGACAATGAGAAGCTCTATCACCATAGAGAGAAGTATATGTTGACCATGGAGAATTCCTGATGATATGAAAATTACATACTATTGAGACAATCAATAAACATTGAATTGCACAACACGGTTAATCACACTGCGATTTCTCACATTGACCAAATATCCTGGATTCCACTGCTAGCCACTATCAATCTTCGCTTACCATACTATCAAATTTTTTCTAATTATTTGTAAAATTAAAGAAAGTTGAACAAATTTTAAATAGTGTACCTCATATATTTTGCTTTCCTGTGGAATGAACAATGACTACGATTACCAACTAGAATTTTACAATGACACAATTATACCCATGATGATGTATTACGAATAAAAATTAATATAAAGCGATATTTATACGTGATTTGTGAACCTCAGATTGATATCGTTTTAAAAAGATCCAGTGTGTCTTATTACTTTCCACGTACACATTGGTACTTTAGAATTATGTGATAATGATTGCTTATTCATGAATAGTTTATATTTTCATTAAAAAGGTAAATAAACTTGTCTTTGGGATTCATTAAAATGCATCAGTTTATAACCGTTGCAAAGTTAGCTCATGTTTATTGGAAATAAACTATAAAAATATTGTCTTATTACGTCTGATACAATGATACGCTTATCTACTAAATGTATCACACATATCTTTATTTATTCAAAGTTCGAATCATGTAAGTGAACAATTTCTGATTAACTAAATGATATGCAAACGTTTAGTTCTTTAATTGAACCAGTTATCAACATTAAAGTTTCATCATTATAGATACGTTTCCATAGAGTTTTTGAATTTGAGAAAGGTATGTTATAAATTACAAATGAAAAGTCCGCTTTATCATTGGTCAAGCTTCAAATTTCAATATCCTTGTTTGATATATTGGCATACTTTACTTAGGAAATCTTTAAAACAATCATGTAAGCAAAGAATTCAGACTTCATCGAGGCAATACGCACAGTATGCACATACGCCAATTGGAGACTGACCAGTTCCTGACTGACCATCAACGGGAGGATTCAAACAAACAATACTAAGTGAATTTATTCATTTAAGCCTCCATTGATATCTACAATCATTTTGGAAAATGGTAGTTATTTGGCTACTATTCCTAATTATAGTATAATGCACTATGCTATATGCAGTATTGTTTTTGTATATGTATCAAGTGTAAGGGACTGCGTTAAAAGATACAGAAAATTAAGAATGGTATACCAAACTATTAACATAATTTGTGTATCTAGATTCGTTGTGAACAAAGTTAAATGTGATAAATTTTAATCAAGATTCAATGTCATATATAATTTATCTTACCGTGACAGCAACTCAGAACAAAAATGATTGCCACTACATCAAATTAAATTATATTTGTTAACTTCAAGATGTCCTACCATATCTCGATATTCTTCCTAATGGAAAGCTTTCAAACGAATATGGCATTACTTTAAGGATAATGCAAATGATATGTTTTCAGTAAGTTGATTCTTTTCTTATGATCAGGTTTGGATTCTCATATATATATATATATATATATATATATATATATACAAAGATTGTTGGTTTGTAGAAAATGTAATTAGTGAACTGCTGACATTGATTGTTCTAATGAACAAAAACGTTTGGATATGAATTTACAATTCACTGTTTGCAATTCACTGTTTTGTCTGGATTTTACAACAACAAAATGATGGCTATGTGTGATAACTGAAGATGTGACTGAATTCCTTAATTAATCTTGTATTATTCAAATAATTTCTGAAGGCTTGGGAGGTTTTTACCACTATTGATTCTCAAGAAAAATATCGAAACTTTGGATTAAGATCTTGGATTAGTTGAATGAGATAGGAACTTCTTAGTTCTTAAAAAATGACGATATCGTGAATGATATTTACATCAAGTCAGCACAAGATTTATCAAGATACCTTGAATAAGGTTGCAAGTACAAATAATTGCGACTTCTTTTACAATGAAACCTGATTTGCAATCGCTTCGAATTCCAGATCTCCTGTTTTTACTTTTACAAATATTGTTAAAAATTGTTTTCTCTTTTTTTCAGTATACTGACCGACGAACTAACTCCGCCTGTAGCTCTTCCAGAGTTGCTGCCGGTTTCAAGCCCGTGTAAAAGAGGAGGGTTGAGCATGGGGTTAGCGTCCCCATCCTGTAAAACAATAATTTTGCTAAAAAAAACGCTAACCAGAAAAAATAATTCAAACCATTTAGGTGGCACAATATTTCTACAAAAAGAAATAAACAAAGCTACGTGGATCTCGCTGGACCACACCACAGAGAACTAGATAGATCATATTTGTATCAATAAAAGATTCCGAAGGACAATGGAAGATGTGAGAACCCGGAGACGAGCTGACATAGCTTCAGATCACAACTAGCTGGTTGTGGCCAAGGTGAAACTGAGGCTAAAGAAATACTGGACTACTGAAAAAACAGCACCACAAAAAGTTTCAATACAGCCTACCTTCGAGTTACTGACAAGCTATACGACTTCAAGATCACTCTCAACAACAGGTTCCAAGCTCTACAGGATCTACTGAAAAAACAAGAAACTACGATGGAAGACAACTGGAAAGGGGTCAAGGAAGCACTAACTTCAACGTGTCAGGAAGTTCTAGGTTTTAAGAAGCATCATCATAAGGAATTGATCTCTATGTGAACCCCGGACAATGTTGAAGAAAGGAAGAACAAAAACACAGCAATTAACAACAGTCGAACACGAGCAGAGAAATTCAAGGCACAAGCAGAGTACGCAGAAACAAACAAGCAATGGAAGAAAAGCATTAAAGCCGACAAGCATAAATGCATGGAAGAACTTGCAATGACGGCGGAAAAGAGCTGCGAGGAAGGGAATATGAAACAATTATGTGATACAGTGCAGAAACTGGCAGGGAGATAACGCAAACCGGAGAGACCAGACAAGGAAAAAGAAGGAAAGACAATCACGGAGATTGAAGAACAGAGGAAAAGTTGGGCAGAATACTCATAAGAACTCCTGAATAGGTCAACTCCATTGAATCAACCGGACATCGAAGCAGCCCACACTGACATTCCTATAGATGTCACTCCACCAACGATCGAAGAAGTCAAGATGGACATCAGACAAATCAAGAGTGGGAAGGCGGCAGGACCTGACAATATACCAGTTGAAGCACCGATGTCAGACATTGACGTAACCGCATACATGCTTCACTTTATATTCAAGAAGATTTCAGAGAAGGAACAAGTGCCAGTGGACTAGAATGAATCAGACCTCAACAAGATACGAAAGAAAGGATATCTGAGCAGACGTGAGAATAACAGAGGCATCACACTGTTGTCAGCACCAGGAAAAGTTTTCAACATAGTGTTGCTGAACCATATGAAAGACGCAGTAGACGCCCAACTTCAAGATCAACAAGCTGGATTGCGCAAAGATCGGTCGTGCATAGACCGCCACGGATCATCGAGGAGCAATCAGTCGAGTGGAAGTCACTGCTATAAACCATCATCATTGACGATGAGTAGGCGTTTGACAGTGTAGACCGGGAACGCTATGGAAACTTCTATGACACAATGGTGTTCCCAAGAAGATCGTCAACATTATCCAACACTCAAAAAAATTCAAGATAGCTCACAGTAGCAAGTTTCAGGCGTAACTAAATTCACTAGAAGAGGAACGTACTTGTTTTGGAGAACAATAGGAATGAAATTGAGGAAGCAGTAGCTCCAAAATGTCGGAAGAAAACGGGCCACAAGAAGCATCAGTATAGAGGACATATCTCTCTAGATATCTTCGGTGTAATTCAATAATAGAAAAGCAAGAAGACAGGGGTTACCAACAACGAAGAAAGAGTAGATGAAGTCAAGGCCCTGAATAAGTATGCAGAAAGGAGCAAACTATTGAGGAAGAGTATTAGAAACAATAGAGAGCATATCTAATCTAAGTTCTGATAAAGAGGAGATAATAGTAAATGAACCACATTATTGTTGCAATATTTTAATACAAACAGTGGCCATTTAGCATTAGTTCTTTTAGGTTCTCATAAAAAGATTCCGTCTTTTCTTTGTTCACCAGTTTGTAGGTATCAGTGTTTCATTAATTAGGTCTTTCGTTTAATAGACAAATATATTTCATAATAATATTGTACGATTTTATTATTTCATAATGTTCTATTGTAATGGTGAGATATTTTCTTGATTTATGAATTCTCTTTAAATCTTAGTATTCTTTTGTTTATCAAAGTCTATAAAATTTTATAATTATGTTCACTTTCATTATTTCTATGTAGATAATTACTGGTTGATGATGGTATTTCTTTGTAGTGTTTTGTATCACAGCATTAGATGTAATCCTTAACATACTCAAACTTTGATTATTTAATGATTTTGACCTACATTTAGTTTTTTAAAATCAAATTTCTGATAATGGTAATAATAATAATATGTTAAATAAGATAAGGGAACGTAAAATAGGTCAGTGATGAAGATGGATTGAGAGGAGGTCATTTTGAAAAAAAAGATTTTCACATTTTTACTCTGATGCTGTTCACCATCTACGTTAATTCATGAAATAAAAAGATTTAGTATTATCTTTAACAATATTTGCTGTAGGATCAGAATAATATCATCACCAATAAGATTCACTCCTCAAAGCAAGATAAGAAATTATCTCATGGAATTGCCTAATGATTCCATAATTCAGTCTCAAAAGATTGTTTATTTTTTAAAGACCGGTGTCAGACAAGGTTGCTTACTCTCACAACTTCTCTTTCTCCTGGTGACCGACTAGACTATGAAGACGTCAATATCTGGAAGGAAGCACGGGACGCAGTGGACAGCTAGAATGCAGCTGGATGATTTAGAATTCGCAGATGATCTGGCTCTTCTATCACACACGCAACAACAAATGCAGGAGAAGACGACCAGTGTAGCAGTAGCCTCAGCAGCAGT